TGTCATAGGACACGTATGTAACCTAAAATGGCGGAGAGAGACAGCAAATTCTAGAAAATAAACGAGGGAAAAAATGCCGGCGAACGAAATGATAAAATGTAGCAGCGAGAAACATTTAAGAAGACAGAAAAAAGAAAAACGAAAAACTATTATTGCGTATCAGGAACATGTAAACTTGAAAAAAATCGAAAACGAACAAAAACAGAACAAAAATAAATTGGTATCAATCATTTTTTTTTTTAAGTCGGACTGAATATTATAGTTATAAAATGTTTGAAGGTAAAAAATATTGACTGAATAAAATGATTATTTTGTGCTGGGTTGGGTTATTTAACGTTGAATATAAGTTTTAGATGGCAAAAATTATATCGAATTGATAGAAAGGCAGCAATAGGTTCGGTTTATACGTGAGAAAAAAACGTAGGACCTAGGTTCGGTTTACACTAGACTCAAAAAAGAAGACGTGCTCAGTTTACACTAGAATAAAAAAAAAAAAAATATGTTTTAAACTTTGTTTTATAAATTACACTATAATATTCCATTGTGCCTCAATTTACTGAGGCAAAAAAAATATTATATCAATCACATAAAAAATCATTGACGGATGCCTTTATAACATTTCTATTAATAGGAAATAATTTATGATAAAAAAAATCCCTTAAAAATTACTGAGTTTACGTTTGGTGTATGAAAGTGAAGCCAGAAGGGAGATTTGTAAAAGTTCCAACGAGAGATGAGCTTTCTTTAAATAGGCAATTCATATTTTAAGTTTAGATCATATCGTTTTTTATTGTGCGTAGTGTCACCACAAATGTATCCACACGTTTCCGGTGTCTGTTTTTTAATTTTAATTTTAGGTCAGCGAATCGGTAGTGATTTATGGAACTGAAAATAATTCCTATTTATCTGTATCTCACTCGTTTAAACTGTTATTTAACTCCTCTCTTTAAACTTTCAAAATTAAATTCTAATTTTTTTTTCACCTTTAGGTTTTTCTGTCCTTATTTCTTCTGTTACACCCCTCTCTAAAAAGGTTTCATACATTTCCTCTCACCTTTTTTTCCCACTCTAACACATACACTCTCACTAAAATTTTGTTTTTTATAAATTTATTTATTTTCTTTTTGAATTTGTAGGTCTGATGAGTTGGATCGTGATTTCGATTCCAACATATTAAATTATAACCATGCAATATTAATAACAAAAATTATATATATATATATATATATATATATATATATATAATATATATATATATATATAACATTGTTCGATAAAAAAACATTCCCAAAATATTTTTTTACTAAATATAAATTCTTCTTATGGTGCATTATAAAGTACAGGCTCTCGAGAAAGCAATTGAGCTACATGCTCCACAAGTTTTCTCTGGGGTTGAGGTCAGGAGATTGGGGCGGCCATGTCATAACACTCACCTGCTTCTCATCAAAGTATTCCTTCATCAATTTTGATTTGTGACAGGGAGCATTATCCTGCAAAAAAATGAGCTTGGTGGGGTCGATTTGCACCCTTTCAGCAGAAGGGAGCAGACAAGACTCTAAAATTCTCTTGTACTGCTCGCTCCTGAGGGTCTTTTCAATAGGTTTTAAGAAACCATTTCCATGAAAAGAAAAGCATCCCCAGAACATTACACTGAACGGATGCTTGACAGTACTTTCTGCTAAATTCAAAGAGCTTTCAAAGCTTCTTCTTCGGATTTTAGATCGCTTATCTTTTGAATTTAGCTCAACTTTCGTTTCATTGGAGAAGAGAACATTTAGTAAAAAAAGTTTCGTTGTTTACCGAACTCGTCGGACACAAGATATAGTTTATTGTTTATTTAAGTATATACGTACTTATTAATGTATATATTTCTTAGTAAAACTTATATGTTTAATACCATAATTTCTTATCTGCGAAGGGACAACTGCAATGTGTGCAGTGGTGCTTTGATATGCATTGCCTTTATACTACTGTCAAGTGTAAAGACTATCTATAGTTTGATCAAATTGCCTGTCCCACTCACGATGAGGCTTCTATGTTCCTTTCATTTGCTCTTCATGCTATTGATAAAGCCTTGCAAGATATCACTGGCATTGCCGCTGTTTTTCGTGGTAAAGTTGTGCTCTTGGGGTAAGACTGTAGGCAAGTCCTACCCATATTAAGACTTAAAAAGAGCTTGTAAAGTGCTTGAAAACCATAATGCGGGTTGACCAAAGAAAATTGGGTAGGCGGACTCTTGGGAGCCGTCAAGAACTTTGTTAGCACGAAGTCAAAAGTCATTGTGACCGAGGCTTTGAGTTTTCTGGTGTTGTTCAGATTGTTGATCATTCAAGATAACACGTTCTGTCCCAGAATAGATGCATTATAAACCACAGGTTGGCTCTGTGGGTGTTGAACAAATACATATGTTCCTGAGCGAGAGTCTGCAATAGGGATTGGCTAGCTGCCCTAGTAGACGGGTATCCTTGGATACTATTAATAATAATAATAATAATAATAATATATGGTTATGTCTGTTCAGAGCAGGGACACTTAGTCATCATAAATCACTCAACACCAACAGTCTATTGCATATGACGATTTCGTAATGGCATGCTTTGAATGCCCGACTTACACTAGAGTGTGCAAGACCAGGTCGGACCTGACAAGGCATTTAAAAAGATATATTGGAAGTGATGATGATCAAAGTCAACTCCCACCTTGAGGAGTCGATCCCAGCGTGCGACACCTTTGAAAAGTGCCTTCAAACCATAATACGAGTTGACACCCCCCCCACAAAAAAAAATTGGTTAGATGAAACCGTTGGGGACTCTCGATAGCTTTGCTAGCACGAAGTTACAAGTCATCGTGACCGAGAGTTTGAGTTTGCTGCTGTTGTTCAGATTGTTGATCATTCTAGATAACACGCTCTCTCCCAGAAACTGTAACTAAGGTCTGCTCAGCATAGTTGTAGTATAAACCACAGGTGGGCTCTGTGGGTGTTGAGCAAACACAAATGTGCTTGAGCGAGCGTCTGCAATAGGGACTGGCTAGTCGCATTAGTAGACGGGTATCCTCGAATACGAGTGGCCAGCTGTTATTATTATTATTATTATTATTATAATTATTATTATTATTATTATTATATGTCTATCCTGGGCAGGTCTGCTAAGTCACAAGAAATCACACCAACACCAACAGTCTATTGTATATGATGATTTCGTAATGGCATGCTTTGAATGCCCGACCTACACTAGCGTGTGCAAGTCCAGGTCAGGCCTGACAAGGCGTATAAAAAGACACATTAGAAGTAATGATGATCAAAGCCAACTTCCACCACCCGAAGATGATTTGATATGCCACATATGTAACAAGAAATGCAGATCAATGGCTGACTTTATGAGCCACTGTCGTTCACACAAACAATGAGTGCAGTGTTATGGGGAGGGGATTAACTGATGGACGGTGATGGTCATACTAGCTTTGTGCCCAGTGCCATCGGTTATGTCTGTCCAGGGCAGGTTTGCTCTGTCACCAGAAATCACACCAACAACCAACAGTCTATGACGATTTCGAAATGGCATGCTTTGAATGTCCGACCTCCACTAAGGTGTGTAAGTCCAGGTCGAGGCCTGACAAGGCGTATAAAAAGATACATTGGAAGTGATGATGATCAAAGTCAACTTCGACCACCCGTAGATATTTTAATATGCCACATATGTAACAAGAAATGCAGATCGATGGCTGGCTTTATGAGTCACTGTCGTTCACACAAACAATGAGTGCAGTGTTGTGAGGAGGGGATTTAACTGATGGACTGGACACGTCAGTGATGGTCATACTCACTTTGTGAGTCGACTGCCACTATATATATATATATATATATATATATATGCGTATTTCAAAGGCTGGCTGGGTGAATCATGTGATGTCACATAAAGAAAAAAAATCACCTTTGGTATGGGATAGACACAGAGTGTCATAAATGCACAATCATGTGACAATGTATGCACAACCAGGTCCGGACTGAAAGGCACATGGTGGTGCACAGGAATCAGGCACAGTGGCGTGAATCCATCAATGTTGTGTCAAGCACATTGTTCGTATGTTACTTTGTGTAACAAGTCATGCATGTCCGCAGCCGGCGATTTAAGGTACCTTCAGGTAATGTTTTCTTGTGCGACAAGGGAGCGAACCTGATTGGGCGGCCATTATCTGTGAAGATGACGGATGGATCATATATATATATATATATATATATATATATATATATATATATAAATGGTTAACATAAAGCCACAAATTAAATATTAGATTAATAATATTTTAGTGATTTGGAAAGACATGATAATAATTAATGATTATTTGTTGATATACCTGATATGTAATTGCTACCTAATAGTTTTATTAAATTTTGACGCAAATCTTATTTTTTTTTTATCTGATTCGGGCAGAGCATTGGACAGTTATTAGAATCTTATTACTAGCTAGAGTATCCGTGACACGTTGGGTCATTGAATGTTCAGGTTATAGCATTTTTTGATTGATTTCAATATTAAAAAAAATATATCTGTTTGAAGAAAGTTGAAATAAAAATACTTACTGTATGAACAACTCGTATTTTTTAATCTTATTCACTTAAAATATTTCTTTTTTTAAAACCAGATTAACTTAAAAGTATTTTTTTAATATGTCAAAAATATTTTAAAATCATATTCACTTGAAAATGTTTTTTGAATATGGCAAAAAATGTCTTTTTTTACTATTTAAAATATTGTTTGCTTAAAGAAAGCTGAAATCTCGCATTCACAGAGAGGTGGAAAGAGAGAGATGGAAAGAGAGAGAGAGAAAGCGAGAGTGATGGAAAGAGAGAGAGAGAGTTGGAAAGAAAGAGAAGTGGAAAGAGACAGATGAAAAGAGAGAAGTGGAAAAAGAGAGAGAGGTAGAAAAAGAGAGACGGAAAAAACTTAAATCAATATGGGAACCGAAATACGCACAATACAGATTTTTAGTATTTAACCTCAAGATAATAGAATAGATAGATATATAATAATAGACAGATAGAAAGAAAGAAAGAAAAAAAAAGAAAGAAACAGAGATGAGATAGATAGAAAGATAGATAGATAGATAAATAGATAAATAGAGACTGAGATAGATAATAGATAGAATGAAAGAAAAAAGAAAGAAAAGAAATTTTTTTTAATAAAAACAGACTGAGATAGAAAATAGATAGATAATAGATAGATAGATAGATAGAAAGATAGAAAGAAAAAAGAGACTGAGATAGATAGATGAAGATAAGGAAAAATGAAAGAAAAAAAAAGAAAAAAAAAAAGAAACAGCCTGAGATAAAAAAGAAAGAAAGAACTGAGATAGATAGAAGGAATAAAGAAAGAAAGAAAGAAAGAAGAAAAAAAGAAAGAAACAGACTGAGATAGATCGATAGATAGATAGATAGATAGATAGATAGATAGATAGAAAGAAAGAAAGAGACTGAGATAGATAGATAGATAGATAGGAAGAAAGAAAGAAAGAAAGAAAGAAAGAAAGAAAGAAAAAGAAAGAAACAGCCTGAGATAGAAAGAAAGAAAGAGACTGAGATAGATAGATAGGAATAAAGAAAGAAAGAAAGAAGAAAAAAGAAAGAAACAGACTGAGATAGATAGATAGATAGATAGATAGAAAGAAAGAAATATACTGAGATAGATAGATAGGAAGAACGAAAGAAGGAAAGAAAGAAAGAAAGAAAAAAAAGAAAGAAACAGACCGAGATAGATAGATAGATAGATAGATAGAAAGAAAGAAAGAAACAGACTGAGATAGATAGAAAGAAAGAAAGAAAGAGACTGAGATATCTAGCTAGCTAGCTAGCTAGATAGATAGATAGGAAGAATAGAAACAAAGAGGAATACAATAGTAGTGATGGCAGCGGTGGTAATGTTCATGATGGTAGTAGTGATGGTAACTTGTCGGTTATTTTGGAATATTTTTTGTTATTTATTTATTCGTTATTTATATACAAATTTTATTTTATAAGCCATACAATAAAAACACTTATAATAAACTTTTCTATAAATATTATTAGTTACTATATATTAATTGTATTTATGGGTAAAACATATTCGTGTATGGATTAGGGAGATTTGAATAAGTTTCATTTAACGTAAGGGAGAAAAGTCAAAAGAAATTTTGTTGAAAATTGAATTCCCCTTTTGTTTAATTTGAGATTTCTAAATCGTTTTTGTTAAAATAGCAATAAGAAAGAAAAATATTAATAGGAGGAGGCCTGGCCCATTGAATGTGATGGCCCACCATGATATGGATATGTTCTTGCACCCAGGAACCTGCCCCCACTTATGGGTAAATACGAACTAACTATAATTGTGACACAACGAAAAATATTGCTTAACCACGTTAAATCAAGTAGGACGAGGACAAAAAATACCCAGCAAGGAACCAGACTGGGATCGAAAGTCTGCAACTGGTACAATTTTTACCATTTTTCTTTAAAATTAGAATTAAACCATTGGCGAGGACAGTCTTCAAAACAAAAACCGAAATTCATTAAAAGAAAATCCCACAAAAAGAATAATAAATAAATGGTCTAGGAATTATAGCATTTTACGCCGCTACGATAAATCCGACAACAATGACCAAAGTCGCCTATAATATCTGGCGAGAAAAACACCCATCAAAAAGAGTAAACATCAATGCCAACAAACTAGCCAGTGGCAGGCGTGACATCATCAGAAAAGAAAGAATACCTGATAATATAGAATAGAACTCGAAAGTATACGAGAAAACATCGAAAATAGATTAAACGTTAATCTTGAGGGGCTAAATGCCAACAACCCAGAGGAGACGTATGCAGAGGAAAAAATAGAAAGCAGTTCTAATAATCCATCTGAGAGACACAATCAAGTAGAGGAAGATAATGAGAAATCTGATAGAGAAACAGGGATGACAACATCCGATATAAATGGGAGAATATAAAAAAAATGTCTTTCGAAGAAAGGCCGACAATTCCAAAAGTAAGAAAGAACCGTCAAGTGACGGAAACCATCAACCTCGCTAACGAAGCTATTAGAAAAATAAGAGAAGAAATGGTAAGACCGATGAACCTGACAGAAATTAATCATCTTATATACGCAGCCACGGCAATGAACGCAGAAACAATAGGTGAAAAATAAAAAACACAACGTAAGCGAATAAGAAAAATGCCAATCTGGAAAGAAATAATAGAAACCGAAATAAATAAAGTACGAGAGCAAATTCCATTTCGGAATGATGTTGACAAAGTCTCGATAAAGAAAGAAAGAAAGAAAGAAAGAAAGAAAGAAAGAGACTATTGAAACAAAGGCCTGATGTAAAAAATAAGACTGACGTACCAAAAGCTAAAGAGAAGCTGAAACAACAAATTCAAGCGAACGCACAAAGAATCAAGCGTTATGAAAAAAGAAACAGATTTTTCTGGAAAAAACAAGATCTTCAAAGAAGATGCCAAGAAACTATGTCGAGAACTGTGAAAAATACAATATAGATAATGACCAAGCTAAAATCAAGGAAGTCGATGACTTACAGTGTAAGATGTGGGAAAACTGCAACCTGCACGATGAAAGTGCTACATGGATCAAGTATCAACATGAACAACACACACATACAGAGTGCCAAAAATGGATGGATATTAATATTACTGAAATAGTCGCTGATATCAGTAAAACCAAAAACCGGAAAGCACTAGGAATAGACCGAATATCCAAATTTTGGATAAAAAAAAAAAACACTATCTAGTACCGACCAAAACCTCGATCTATAAACCCCGAAAAATGCTTCAAAGCGTGTTTAACATAGCTACTACCAAAACAAATATAGACGCAGAAACCGAAGAACTATAGGCCCATTACCTGCCTACAAACAATGTAAAGAATCTTCACTTCTATCATAACTGTTGAAACTTGAATAATGCATGGAATAATAATGTAACACAAAATGTACTTAGAAAAAAATGTATTGAAACAAGAAAGTGTACACAATATTTACATATAGTCTTTTGTATATTCCTGGTAAGACCGTTCCTGGAGAATGTGTTGACTGAGTCGCAGTCGGGCAGAGTCTCTGGTTGAATCTCTTGATTCTCCCTCCTCTCTTCCCGGTACCAACCATATTTATATGGTCGGTACCCACTATGCAAAATTAGGTGGATCCTACCACAACATTAACCGAGAGGACATATAACTTTTTTTGAGAAAAAACAATTTACTCCCAGCAGAACAGAAAATACAAAAGAGTAAGTTACGGGAACACGGATCTGCTAATTATCGATAAAGGTAAATATTGGAATATTGAAAATTATTTGAAAACAAGGAAAAGAACCTCATCGATAGTATGGATCGACTACAGAAAGGCGTTCGACAGAGTTCCACACTCATGAATAGAGAAGATAAAATATGCAGAATATGTCCCACAGTGGTCAAATTCATAACGGAGAGTATGGAAGACTACACTAAAAACGTACAAACGGATCATTAACATAGTGACCAATCACCATTAAAAGCGTGATCTTCCAAGGAGATTCATTATCACCTCTATTCTTCCGCCTTTCATTAGCGACACTCAGCTGTCCACTGAACAAGAGTAGCTACGGATACAAGTTATAAAATGGCGAAGTCAATCACCTATTCTATAGGGATGATCTTAAAACCTTTGCCAAAACAACATCAAAAAACCATAGTCACCATTGTCAAAACCTTCAGCAAAGACATGAAGATAAAGTTCTGAATCAACGAGTGTGTCTAAGCCACCCTCAAAGGTGGTTAACTAAAAAACTAGAGATTTAGACCTTGATATCAACATAGAAATACTTAGACATTAATGAAAGAGACGGAATACGACATTGAATTATGAAGAAAAGGATCCGAAAATAATATCTTTTAGGAGAGTGCGTTTGATAATAGAAAGTTAACTTAATGGGGCCAATAAAAATGTGGCTGTCAACAACTTAGATATAATCATGTAGTAACATATAAAGATTTGATATTGAACATTATTAAATGTGATCCTTATTTTGGATATTAAAAGATTAGACACTTAGACTAGAAAATCTCTTTAGGTGACGAAACGTCTTACCTTTGTCAAATGAAATTGTTCTGATATTTTATATCAACCGAAATCAGATGTTGATCAACTGGCTGTACGTTTACATAACAAGATTTTCATTCGATATAAATATGTCGGTGTTTAATTCAACTTGAAAATTTGTCTAAAAACTGCAATAATCAGACTTAAAAAGCAAAATTAGGTCTTATACAAAACCATATAGAAATATGTTAGTTATCGTCTTTTTTCTTTAAATAACAGAAAAATAAAACAAGATATGAGCAATTTAACACTATAAAATTGAACATCTTTAACGAGACATAAATTCTTTTTTTTTCTCACGGAATCTTATTTTGTGTCCGATTTATTGTATTTTAAATTGGCGACCTTATAGACAGAGTTCTAAGTCAGTTCGTTCTCTTACTTACGGATAGACGTGATGCTGATAGAGAACTGTTTGTTTTCTTTTATAAATGTTTGATCTGTGATGATGCTGTTGTTGCTGCTGCTGATGTATCAAGAAAATTGTTCGAAAAACAATTAAAAAAAGTAACTATAAACAAAATGCTTTTTTTTTGCTAAAAGCCGCAACGATGGAGAAAGCATTATCTCGCACCATCGCTAGTGAGGCATGATTCAAAAAGCCACCTGTTTCACGAGGTTTCACTCAAAATGAATTCCCCAAAGGAACGCCATCGAACAAGGGCCAATAACCCTTTTTTTTCTGCCACTGGATAAAAAAAACAACAAAATCTATCAGCAAGAGAAGAATATTTAGCTATTTTTTTTGGGAGGAGATGAGCGACAGACCCCGGCTCCACCACGGACCTGATCAAATTACCGGTGGAAAATGTATCGGTACAGGTCATATCCCAAATCAACGACTTCCCCATTTTAAAAGGGAAGTTGGTGATCCTATCCAAAAACATCACCACGAGGCTGAGGAGTTGCATCCAGACCTCTTCTGATGATATCGTTTGTACATATGGAAAGCGGCCGGAGATAGAGAGGATGTAGACTCATTAATGGAAACTCCACAGAATTATAATTTATAGATGCAAATTGTTCGAATGAAAATTAATATATGTGTGTATCATTATATTTAATGATAATTATATATATATATTTGAAATACGTATGTAGATTTGTTCGGGAGTGTGTGATTGTGGATTAATAACGCCTTTGAAAATGGAGTCTTAGCAAGTATAATTCATCTCACAATATGAAAATTTTACTTAAAAGAGAACAGGACTTGCAATAGTAAGAACAGGTTGCCAAAATATTTCCAAGAAATATCTTTAAATAGAAATTAAAAGATTAGTTGCACTTTTTTAACGACACTTTTCAGTAGTTGACTATTTATATATATATATATATATATTTTTATATAAATTGTTTTTATTAACGATATTTGTATTTTCGAATAATTATAATTATTTTATTTAATTTTTAAAATTTTGATTGCAATAAAAAATTTGCGTTTCGAATAATTATCAAGTATAAGGTCTTTCGATTAATTTTCATTCAAACAATTTACAATTCGAATAAATGTTTTACGAATAATTGTTTACAGACAATTATTTTTAAACAATGTTCCCATAACCTCTGCTGTAGTTACTTCTGGATTCAATCGAGAAAGATTAAATTGAGCAGAAAAAGAACCGTCTTCGTCTGTCTGTCATCTTTCAATCGCCAAAGCACGTTTTTTGAGATGAAATTTTAAATAAAAAGACGACGCCTCGAAATCATTTTTTAATTTGGAGAGATATCTGTTCATAAAACCTTTTATCGCGATGAGAATTTGAAAAGTGCGCGAGGCAATATGTAAGAAATTGCAATTAAATTTGAATGTTGTGTAATATGTTTTGTGATGGATTGGTAAATAGGATTGTAAATATTTGCATATGTTAAGTAGAAAAGATGTAAATGTATAGTAAACTAATAGACAAACAAGAAGTTGACTATTGATCACGTATCGTAGAACAACACAATACAACAATATGGCGTCGCCGAGGGGATGTTTAAGTCGATTGGATGAAGAAGAATTTGTACAAACTTGGATCCGGTGTTTTGCAGTCCAGGCCATGCTAAATAAAAATTGAAAAACCAGCCAGGAGAGACAAGGAAGAAGATGAAATGAGACCAAGATTTCCATTAAATAGAGAAGGACATAAAACTCAAGGGGGAGATGAGGAACGTGGTTGTAGACGAAGTTCGAGAGAAACCAAAGGTATTAAAGCTCTTCGGTTCAGGGAGGTGTAGTGGATTGGTAAATAAAATTGTATCTATTTGCGTATGTTAATTAGAAGAGGTTAGTAAATGGTGTCTAGTAAACTAAGAGACAAACAAGAAGTTGACGACTGACAAGGTGTCGTAGAACAACACGATGCAACAATATGGCGTCGCCGATAGGATGTTTAAGTCGTTTGGTTGAACGAGAATTTGTGGAGACTCGGATCCGGTGTTTTGCAGCCCAGGCCATGCAAAATAAAAATTGATAAACAGCCAGGAGAGACATGGAAGAAGATGAAATGAGACCAAGATTTCCATTAAATAGAGCAGGACATAAAACTCAAGAGGGAGACGAGGAACATTCTGGTTTATCAACTGTTTGTTTTGTGCTATCGTTTACACACACCGGTAAAATATATTTTGTCATTGGATATAAATACAGTATATACTCACAGGTCATGCGGCCTTTGAAGGCACTAATGAGTGCATCCTCATTTACGTCATTTCACAAATACCTCAGTAGATATCAGATTATTGTAGCCACTTTTATTTTATTGTAAGCTTTAATCTGATGAAATCCCTTTAGGTGACGAAACGTCTTACTACTTTGTCATTCAATTATCTGAAATTGTTCTGATATTCCCTTATAGGTAGATAAATGCAAAATTACGTAGGCCATTTTGAACATTCTGATTTATCAACAGTCTGTTTTGTGCTATCGTTTACATACACCGGTAAAATATATTTTGTCATTTGATATAAATACAGTATATACTCGCAGGTCATGCGGCCTTTGAAGGCCAAATTTTGAAGTGAATTTGTCTAGTAAATGGATATATAGTTTGGTCAACGACGTAGCCAGTACCAGTAGTACATAAGGTAATTTTATATCTCGTGTATGTTCCGACCCCACTTAAAATTAGCTTCAAAATTAGGTTTTCATAAGTCGTATGATACGCGTGTATATACGGTAGATAAAATATCGAGTGTTATTTCTCGTCTTTTTTTCTCTTTAAGTAACAGAAAAAAATAACCCGGTATCCAATTTGGAAATTACAAGTTGAACAATTTAACACTATAAAATTGAACATCTTTATCAGACGAGACATAATCTTACTTTTTTTTTTAAGAAGAAATACCTAAATCGATATTAGTTGTGATATGCTATGAGGAACGTCGTTGTAGACGAAGTTCGAGAGCCACCAAAAGGTATTAAAGCTCTTCGGCTCAGGGAGGTGTAGTGGATTGGTAAATAAAATTGTACCTATTTGCGTATGTTAATTAGAAGAGATAAGTAAATGGTGTCTAGTAAACAAAGAGACAAACAAGAAGTTGACTATTGATCACGTATCGTCGAACAACACAATACAACAATATGGCGTCGCCGAGGTGATGTTTAAGTCGATTGGATGAAGAAGAATTTGTAGAAACTTGGATTCGGTGTTTTGCAGCCCAGGCTATTCTAAATAAAAATTGAAAAACAGCCAGAAAAGACACGGAAGAAGATGAAATGAGACCAAGATTTCAGTTAAACAGAGCAAGACATAAAACTCAAGAGGGAGACGAGGAACGTGGCTGTAGAGGAAGTTCGAGAGTAACCAAAGGTATTAAAGCTCTTCTCTTCAGGGAGGTGTAGTGGATTGGTAAATAAAATTGTACCCATTTGCGTATGTTAATTAGAAGTGATAAGTAAATGGTGTCTATTAAACAAAGAGACAAACAAGAAGTTGACTACTGATCACGTATCGTAGACCAACACAATACAACACTTTTTTTATTGTCATTAATTACTAATTTATACTGGAAGCAAACCACTTTTAGACCAATAGAAAATGAATTGAGGTGCTTCACAAAAAAAGAAAGGGACTCCAGTTTCACCTTCATTTGTGGTGACTAAGTTACTTGTATTAAAATTCAGTTTTTAGAATTTAAGAATTTTGTTTTTTAGAGATAATAATGGTTTAGTGATACAAGTCTTACTACTTAATCCATAGCTGGGGGAGAGGAGGTGGATTCATACCTTTCCAAGGATATTTTAGCGTATGTGATTATAACAAACCCAACGGGAATTGGAACTCGTCTCTCCAACTGACAATTCCGGGCTCTCATCCATTGCACCACCCCCGCATCCAAGTTTACAACATTTGGTATTCACAAGCGGTTACTTAAATTGGCTGCTTAATTTTGGTGACCGTACGGGAACCGATGTTTCAATATGATATGGCCGTAAGCTGCGTACTGGAGAGAAATACTATTCATCTTTTCTTTCTTTTTATGTGATATACCCTTTCAGGACGTGGGCACGAGTAATTATGGTTTTCCTTGTATTTCTAACTTTCTTTCATACTTCCCCGTTGTTCTGTCAATTGTATTCTGAATATTCCTTGGTAGAATTGATGAAAATTCCTCTAGGGTACCTGTAGGGTACCTCGACTTTATGAATTTAAGGATTGACAGAAGACGAGGCACAGTGGAGTAATGGAGTTTGAATTCCAATCGAATCCATTACATTCACTTACGTGTTAGTACCCTTGGAAAAATTATGAACCCTCTTCTTCTCCCCTGCCCCCAGTTATGGGTAAATAGCAGGGCAGACCGGGTTCTATAGCCTTGGATGGCAACTAGTCTACCGCAGAAAGAAATGACAACCTACTGTGGGAAAAAATCTGCCTCGTTAGCACATAACTGACTGATACTTTATTTAATTCATATGAAGAAATTATCCGCATTCACCTTTGGGATGAGGTTTTTATAACATTTACTACCAGAATTGAACTCACAATCGACTTTTTGATCTAATAGATCCAATAATAAAGCTAAATAACGATAAATATTTACCAAGGTTAGGATTAGGGGCTAGGATTAGGGTTAAGGTTAGGGTTAGGGGTTAAGGTTTAGGGTTAGGTCTAAGGTTATTTCTCTGATCGCCTACGAATGTATAACGCACGGCCCATAACTGAACTGGATTGACAGTAAGGTTTCATCATTTTACAATTAAAATTGCTAAATGCAACCGTAATTTCTATGCTAACAGTTTCTTCTCTCACGCTTGTCATTTATACTTCTAGTTCCTTGATTTCCACTCAACTTTGATCTTCAAAGATTTAAATGTAATATCATTTGTTGTCTTCAGTGTTCTTTCTTTTCTTTTATTGTTCTCTCTCCTTAAAAAAATATTTTCCTCATATTCTCTCACACCCTATAACACTTTGCGTTTTAGTGACTTTATTCCCTTGCTTAAAATGATTTTAAAAAGAACAAAGCCTCTGTTGCTTCAAGTGCCTTCATCATTTGTGAGGAAGTTGTCTAATGTTCATCGCAATATCGTAGAGTAGTAATACCTAGCGTTTCAGAAATATTTTCTTTCTTTCAAACGACGTTTTCTTTGATCACTAAATATTCGGTTGGATTCCTTTAACAAGCAGCGTTAAGTTAAACCCTGTTTCTGTAATATTTGACCTGTGCGTGATTTACAATCAGAAGAAATACCTAAATCGATATTAGTTGTGATATGGCAGGTTGTGAGTCCGTATGAACACCAGTAAGGCTGCTCATATCAAGATGATGTGAATCCTTAAAGTTCGAACGGAGACATTCCATTTCCGAAACAGTGGAGACACTTGACATACGCCGATTCATTGTGACATGCGAGTATCTGGGGATGTCAGATAGAAAATATCATTGCTCACCGTGGACAGTAAGGTTTGCCGAGTTTCTTCTTCTTCTTCTTCTTCTTCTTCTTCTTCTTCTTCTTCAAATTCTTCTTCTTCTTCAAATTCTTCTTCTTCTTCAAATTCTTCTTCAAATTCTTCTTCTTCAAATTCTTCTTCAAATTCTTCTTCTTCTTCTTCAAATTCTTCTTCTTCTTCAAATTCTTCTTCAAATTCTTCTTCTTCAAATTCTTCTTCAAATTCTTCAAATTCTTCAAATTCTTCTTCTTCTTCTTCAAATTCTTCTTCTTCTTCAAATTCTTCTTCAAATTCTTCTTCTTCTTCAAATTCTTCTTCTTCTTCAAATTCTTCTTCTTCAAATTCTTCTTCAAATTCTTCTTCTTCTTCAAATTCTTCTTCTTCAAATTCTTCTTCTTCTTCTTCTTCTTAAATACTTCTTCAAATTCTTCTTTTGCAAATTGTTCTTCAAATTCTTTTGTAAATTCTTCTTCAAATTCTTTTGTAAATTCTTCTTCAAATTCTTCTTCAAATTTTTCTTCTTCAAATTCTTGTTCTTTTTTTTCTTCAAATTCTTCTTCATCAAATTCTTCCTAAATACTTCTTCAAATTCTTCTTCTGCAAACTCTTCTTCAAATTGTTTTGCAAATTTTTCTTCAAATTCTTTTTGTTCTTCTTCAAATTCTTCTTCAAATTCTTCTTCTTCATATTTTTCTTCTTTTTTTTTCTTCTTCGAATTTTTCAAATTCTTCTTGTTCAAATTCTTCCTAAATACTTCTTCAAATTTTTCTTCTGCAAATTTTTCTTCAAATTCTTTTGTAAATTCTTCTTCAAATTCTTTTGTAAATTTTTCTTCAATTTCATCTTCAAATTCTTCTTCAATGTTTCCTTTGAGTGTTATTTTTTAAGCCGTCTTTCCTCATTATGTGACCTAGACATTTCACCTGTCTCTTTTTGATGCTACGTGTAAAATGTTCAGTCAATGATATTCTCAACATCCTTCTGTAGAATCACATTTCTGTTCCTTCAACTCTCTTCTTCACCTGTCATGAAATTTTCCAGCATTCATTAACACAGAAGAGAACTGATGTTACATAACTTTTCTGTACTTTTTTTTATTTGTTTCTAATGGAATTCTTACATTTCTTAATATGTTACTTAGCTTTTGAAAAACATCTTTCTCTGCCCCAATGCTCCTTTAGAATATGGTGTCGCATTTTCCGTCCCCTGTTAAAGCACTTCCTAGATATTTAACTTTTTGTACTTGCTTGGCTTTGTGTTGTGGTAGGATCCACCTAATTTGCATAGTGGAGTACCGACCATATAAATATGGTTGGTACCGGGAAGAGAGGGAGGAATCAAGAGATTCAATCCAGAGACTCTGCCCGACTGCGACTAAGTCAACACATTCTCCAATAACGGTCTTACTAGGAATATACAAAAGACTATATGTAAATATTGTGTACACTTTCTTGTTTCAATACATTTTGTTCTAAGTACATTTTGTGTTGCATTATTATTCCACGCATTAGTCAAGTTTCAACACTTTGGTAACCATACATTCTGTCTTCTTATAATTGGTAATTAGACCTTTCTTCTTGCTTTCCTAAGCGATAAGCGATACTGTCTCAAATCGCATCAACATTCAATGATGTGCCAGACTCATATCTTGTCACTCAGTTCAGGATTTTTGCTCTTTCACGGAATATGGAAACTTAAACGAATAACACGGTTAACACTAATGAATAGGAAAAGCGGTTGAAATGGGTTCGAGACATCGGGAACTGGATCTTGGAGGCCTGACACGCTGTGGTGGGAGATCAAAATTAAGCAAGATTTCTTTTTTATCGTGCTCTTCTAGGGCCTGGTGTGGTTCAAACGCAATGAGGGCATAGAACACATTTGTAAGCAAGATATCGTGCAGATCGGCGGTGGCCCTGTTATAGTGTGGGATGTGTACACATGATATAGATTAGGGCCCGCCTGCTTCGTATAATTGACCGTTATTAACCGGTAAGGATGTTACATCGTGCCATCGTTTTCAAGTTGCCCGGAATTGGTTTGAGGAGGATTCTGTAGACTACAAACTAATGTCGTGGCCACTACATTCGCTTAATATGTCAACAATTGAATATTTATGGGAACTGCAACTATAAATATCAGAACTATACAGGAGTCATGTCTCAATGATCCATTCAATTAATGTAAAAATGTTTATTGTAAGTTTTGAGAAAATTATTGATACTATATAATTAGAATTATTCCACATAATATTTAACGAATATCTTCAAAGTTTCTTGATTATTATTGGAACAATGTTTATTGATGTCTTGGGATGAAAGGTTTTTATTATTACACACTATATCATAAATATCTTCATCTATGCAACGATTTTTATTACGACGGTTTAAAATGTCCGAGCTTTTGAAATGAATGGCTTTCATTATTCCATCCTATTTGACAAGTATCTTCATCTATGCAACGATTTTTATTACGACGGTTTAAAATGTCCGAGCTTTTGAAAAAAATGGCTTTCATTATTCCATCCTATTTGACAAGTATCTTCATCTATGCAACGATTTTTATTACGACGGTTTAAAATGTCCGAGCTTTTGAAATGAATGGCTTTCATTATTCCATCCTATTTGACAAGTATCTTCATCTATGTAACGATTTTTTATTACGACGGTTTAAAATGTCCGAAATTTTAAGTGTATGGCTTTTATTATTCCATCCTATTTGACAAGTATCTTCATCTATGTAACTATTTTTATTACGACGGTTTAAAATGTCCGAGCCTTTGAAATGAATGGCTTTCATTATACCATCCTATTTGACAAGTAACTTCATCTATGTAACTATTTTTATTACGACGTTTTAAAATGTCCGAACATTTGAAGTGAATAGTTTTCATTATTCCACACCCATTGACAAGTATCGTCTACTACGTATTGCTTTTTATTACCAAGGTTTAAGATTTCCGAACTTTTGAAGTGAATGGTCTTTACTATTCCATACTATTTGACAAGTATCTTCATCTAAGTAGCGCTTTTTATTATGATGGTATAAAATGCACGAACTTTTGAAATGAATGATTTTTTATTATGTCATACTATTTGACAAGTATCTTCATCTATGTAACACTTACAAAAATATATAATTTCCGAACTTTTGAAGAGAATGGTTTTCATTATTCTAAACCCTTATACAAATATCGTCATCTATGTTGTGCTTTTTATTATCACGGTTTAAGATTTACGAACTTTTGAAGTGAATGATTTTCATTATTCTATTTGATAAGTATCTTAGTCTTTCTATTGCTTTTTTATTATGACGTTTTAAGTTGTCCGAACATTTGAAGCGAAGGATTTTCATTATTCGATATATTATTTGATTAGCATCTACGTCTTTTTCATTATTGATTTTAATTGAAACACTTTAATTTTTTTAATATTTATATTTCCACACGTTTTATGAGGTTTACCTACAAGAATAAAACAATAAATATATCATTAAAACACGAGCGATTAAATCAAGCTCATTGAAATTCAAACTTTCTATAAATTACTTAAAAAGAATTTGTTCGAATATACTAACTAAATATTACGTAAGGAAATATTAGATAATTGCAAAAGTCGCCGATTAGAAAGTTGAAAAGAAAATCTTACATAAAATGACAAAAAATATTTAATTAGTCAAGTAGACTTCATTGTCTTAACCAAGTATCTGCATTGTTGATGCCGTTTTCTTAGAAATTTTCTGTCTTTTTTGGGGGTGGGGTGGGGGAGAAGGTTTTCAGGTAGTTTTTGACTAATTGTACGAAGCTCCTACAAGATCTCTGTTGCAATGTGGGGTCTTGTGCTGTCGTGGTGGAAAATGACACAGTTTCGGATTGCTAAAATCGACCGTTTTTCTTTAACCCAAGCCTTTTCAAATGGCACAAGGTTGTTGAGATATCGATTTTTCAAACTCTCAATTGGTCTATTCTCCACAATGACAAGCAGAACCTCTTTATCAGCGTCGGAAAGTCACCCGGGCCGTGATTGGTCGTTTAGGTTAAAAATACTCTGACGAAATCTGTCAAACCACTTTATGACTTTCCAAAGTCCTTGAGCAGGATCCACAAAAATGTTCTGAATGTTTTTTTTTTTTTTTGTCGCAGTTCCGATGCTTACTCCTTTCCGAAATTCGAAGAGGATAATATGGCTAAAGTACAACTTTTTATCCTCCATCTTTAAGGCATTCATTTGCAGACGAAACGTTAACATTTAGCAAAGTCTGACTCGCAAATGAACGCCGCAATGTTTCAGTCTAGAACATAACAGAAATCATCGCCAAAACAAACGCCAGTGTCAAGCTGCGGTCATTTTATGTTAACAAGGGAAATCGGGCCAAAAAACTTTGCAATGATCTAAAAGAATCTTCGCAGAAATCTCTCAAAAATTTAATTCCTGTGTCTTGGTTGGTAAATTTGACAAATCTCCTCTGCAAAGACACCTTTCACTTTCCCTGAACTTATTCTCAATAATCATCATCTTCAATCATCATCATCATCATCATCAGTCACATGACCGAGTGAGGTCATAAGATTGTTACGCAGTTGAGGACCTGATCAGTTCACTCCACTAGGTTGAAAATCAGGGAGATATTCATTCAGGAATAAGGTTTACGGGTCAAGTAGGCCTGGCGGCGTCATCCCTCTGCAGCTCAAACATCCAGCCAATATACCCCGACTTGAAGACCGCGTTGGTCATGGACACATTACTGTTGACTCTATCGGAGTTTATTTGAGTGATTTTTTATGGCTTATCAACCCTTTGCAGTTTAATTAAAATCAAGAAGTATTTTTAGATTGTAAGAATATTTCTGAGATGATAATGATTTTAATGTTGAATGTCCTACTAATTAATCCATAGTTTGGAGGAGAATAGTTTTTTTTTTATTGATTCATTTTCAACGGCTTAGCAACCCTTTGAAGGATATTTAATGCCAGAAAATATTTTTAGACAGTAAGAATTTTTTGAGGGGGCGTGATGATAATGATTTAGTAATAAAAGTCGTACTAATTAACTTATAGCGGGAGGGAGAGAGAACTGGGGGGATTCATTACTGTCCCCCAGGGGGGTATTTGCGCGTAAATAAATATAATGAAGCAAACGGAACTCTCCTCTTCGACTTCTAATTCTGAGCCATTATCCTTTACACTATCCATCCACTCGACTTCAAGCACCTGGTATTCCCAAGCGGTCGCCCATCTAGATACTGACCAGGCTCGAAGTTGATTAACTTCGGTGATCGTCTAGAAACCGGTGGCCGTAAGCCTATGGTTGCCCTTTTTTTATTATTAGTTATTTTTATTAATCACTTGTGTCTTATTAGATCGACGCTAAGAACAAATCTTCTATCCGTCAATGATCTTTATTACAAGGTACGGTAGAGTAATGGTTAGCTGTTCGGATTGAGGAATCGGAGAGCTGAGTTCGAATTCCAGTCGTGTTCATTATATACACTCACATGCTAATAATCTTTGGAAATGAATCCAATACTTCTTCCTCCAGCTAAATAATAAGACCGAATATGTTATCTATCTTTGGGTGGCAACCAGTCTTGGAGAAGGAAAACCCTGAATTCGAATCTGTGTCCTGGCAAAGCACATATTATGCAGCCTAAAGAAAGGATCGTTCGTTGATCCCGAATATGGTCGACTCTTTCATTGCACTATACTTTTTATTTTATTGCTGTTAACAAAATCCAGAGACAGATATGCAATGTGATAAATCCTGATCTGGCATCTCGTCTACAGTCGCATTCTAACTAACGTGATGTGGTTTCCCTCTGTTTTTTCTACAAATATTTTCATGGTAACTGCTCCGACGAGCTAATTTCACTGGTACCCCGACTGCATGAATTTAAGGTTGGCATCTCGGTCCCAACAATTCACTATCGAAACGGTTAAATGTAGTCGTCTCTTCTACTCCAACAGCTTCTTATCTCACACTTCCCATCAGTGGAACTCCCTTCCTCTTACTTGCTTCCCTGAAAGCTATAATTTTCAAATATTCAAATGTAATGTCAATCGACACCTTCTGATGCCTTGATCTTGATCCCCGTCCTTCTCTTTATCCTTTCCCCAAACACCCTTCTTTACTCTTGCTCTCACTCTCTGTAACCCTCTGCATGCTAGTGGCACTACCGTCTTGCTTTGGGTGACATGCTTAAAAAAAGATCTATTGTAGACATAATTTCTCTATCTGGCACAGACCTTTTTTTACAATATATTGCTATAATTGTTTTCTATCATTATTAGTCAAATCATTGTGTAATTTGATAAATTAAACTTTATCATAGGCAGGTATATACACTGGAAGACACTCTGTATAAGATCTTGTGCTATGAATCTATTGCAGCGTTTAGACATAATCCACGTGGAATAAGCAAGACGCCTTCTAAGTTCTGTCCCTTCAAGACAGGGTAATCATGGCTCTCCACGAGTTCCTGTCCTATGTAACTATTACTAACGTTTGCCTTTTTCCGTCCCTTCCCCGTTCCATCATCCATTCACGCCAGGTAGTTGGTCAGCTTCCCACTCTTATCCCTTTTGCTTTTCATATATCCTGCGAGTGTTACATTCTCCAAACCCTCCTTCCTCATTATCATTACCCAATGTGTCTGAAAATTTTAATTTTTTAAATTTCTCAGTATATTTTGCCGTTCGGAACACACACACACACACACACACACACACACACACACACACACACACACACACACACACATACATATTATACATATATATATATATATATATATATATATATAAAGCACGGAGAGAAAGGTTTTAAGTTTGGAATTTTCGGACACGCCTGTGTCCTTCATCAACGGACCGAGAAATAAACAGAGAAATGGAAATTACTGACCGACAGATGTTTTTGAAGTTGGTGTATTTTCTGGTGGAAATCATATTGATAGCAAAAACACGATCTGTCTGATTCCTCGGTGTGCGAAACTTTTTAGGAAAATAAATTTAAAATTTTGATCGCTGTAAAAGCGTTATGCGGGTATATTATTACTAGCGGGGTGGGGAGTAGAGGAGTGAGATTGTAAACATAGATGAAGAGAGTTATAGATTGGGGAGGAAGAAAGACGTCTCCCGTGTCGCAAGTTGTAGCCAAAATTGACCCACCAAGTTGTCAAGTTTAGAGTGGTTAGAATAACATTTGTTGAGAAAAATGAGAAGGAAAAATGGAATATATAATAACAAAAGAATATTAAATAAAAATGAAATGAAACGAAAAAGGGAAGGAATAAAAAATTAGATAGAAATTTGGGAAAATCTATTGTTACCAAAAAAAAAAAATTAAAAGGGGTACAGAAAATAAACTAAAATAAAAAATAATAAAGGAAAAACTAAGAGGAAAAACGTATACACACACACACACACAGACATATATATATATATGTATATGTGTGTGTGTGTGTGTGTGTGTACATAAGTGCACATAACAGTGTTTAATATAAATACAAGCCACCATACAAGCATATGAATCTCAATACATGTAAAGATATAAATACTTATACAAGATCAATATGTATCTATACTAAACATTCCAACCCCTTATATAAGCTAATATGAAGAAAAATTTGGAAAAAACAAACAAAAATCCTTAAATGCAATTATGTTGTTTAAAATGAATGAAATGTCGACGTCTGACGTTTCGGTTTAATAAACCTTTTCAAGACAATATTCATTAAAATACAATTCAGTTCAATTTGACAAAGACGATGGACATAAACAACAAGTCTTATCCAAAACAGATAACTGAAAATTTTAAAATGATCATCTTTCCGTTTAGCATGGTCATGTTGTCGTCACATGGGCGACGCTTTCAAAACGTATTCCTAAAAATTTTTGATTATTTTGAAATTTACGCGTCATTATAAGACTATTCATTATTAAAATTAACGCGTAAATTTCAAGATTAGTTATTCCAAAAATTTCGCTTGAAGATGAAACAGAGCTTGGTACTTTAATTCAATTTAATTCTAATAATTATATTCAAGTTTTCAGCTCTTGTTTTGAAACATGAGAACTCTCATGTAGCGAAGGAATCATATTTTTAAATAAATAATTATATTTAGGCTCTACTTTTTTTTATCGAGCATTGTTTTTTAAAAATATAAACAAAAGTACTAAAGAACTTCGGATCATTTATCAAAGGAGTTTTTTCCTATTTTCTATAATTTTCACACACACACACACATACACATACACACACATATATATATATATATATATATATATATATATGTGTGTGTGTGTGTGTGTCGACTTTGCTGTCGTATTCGAAATATGAGGGTCAAAGCAGCTCAGTTCCTTTGAGACCGACATCAGCACAAGGGATTTGATTATAATGATGAAGGTTTTGTTCTGAAAACTTTTTGAAGGGCCGAACACAGGTTTTGAATTCAGTTACCATCCAGGTCTAGAGAGCTATTTATTTACCCATAGCTGGAGGGAGAAGAAGAGGATTCATACCTTTCCCAAGTGTATTAGCTGGTAAGTGAATGTAATGGATTCGACTAGAATACGAACTCGGCTCTCCGATTCCTCAATCCAAGCCACTATCATATATATATATATATATATATATATATATATATATATATATATATATATATATATATATATATATATATATATATATATATATTGTATTAATCCTCATCCATTTTTTTAAATTCAATATATTTTTGTTATACCATAACTACAAATGAATAATGTGCATTTATCGCTCGATTTCAACATGTTTCTGAAATGAAAGCTTTCCTTAGCATTTCGATAAAGAGATTAAAATGATAAAAAAATTTACCTTTTTATTTATATTTCATTTTTTTAACAATTTTCTTGCCATAGATAAAATATCCCATGCTCTTATTACATAAAAAGTATAGGCATGTGTGAACGCATGCGCAAATAAATACGTCATCTTGTACACATGCGCAAATAACTATGCGTTTACGTATGCCCGAAATACATGACAGTTTCTTTTGTGTGTTTATATGAAGTGAAAAGGTCTCTTCACTTAATCGGAATAAAACTGACTCAAATCAAAAGTTTTTTAAGAAATTTTATAAGAAGCAAGAGGTTCTTCTTATTATTATTGACGCACTTAAAAATTATTGCATTCCAATATTTTATCCCCGTGTCATTTTTCACGCAGGTACTGCACAATTGGCAATTTTCTCCACAGATTTCAGCATAGAAAAACACAGACTTCGCATATTGGTTCAAATCTATATTAATCATATCAGAAAAATATGAAGCACTAAAATATACACTGGGCTTTTTTGTTATGCCCTCAAATGTGTAAGGTTTTTTGTTGGTTTGTTAATTTGTTTAGCAGCATATCAAATCGTTATGTGTTATTAAATTCCAAATGTTAATTTTCTTGAGAGCATTACTAATTTCTTTTACAAAAATGTATTGCTGGTGTTTTTACTATAAAATTGTATTTTTACACTTTCTTAGTGTTTTGATCCCAGTTTGGGGGTTAAACATTTGCCCATAGCTGAGACCCTAACAGGTGCTACCACTCCGGAATAGAGTGGACCTGGGAACAACAACAAGGAAGAGATGGTTCCACGTCCCTCAAAACTTCTATTTATCTCCCGATCAGTGACATTGCTGCCGAATGTAGTTTATCGTCATACCCAGGACGATATATCTTCGTTTATATTTATCGGCGTAAAATAAGTTTTAGACATAAACACACACACACACACACACACACACACACACACACACACATATATATATATATATATATATATATATATATATATATATATATATAAATATAATGGCCGAATGAAGATCAACGAAGAAATTAAAAAACGTTAAAGATAATTGTTTATTGACTTTTGCAACACATTTTTGATTCTGTCATTTTTTTAGCCGTTATGAGAGAAACAAAAAAGATCAGCAAAAAAATCGAAAATTAAACAAAAAAAAAATAATATATATATATATTGATATTTTAAAAGTTAATTTGACTCGTTGATTGATTGTTAAAAGACGCAAAAAATCTTTCAATTCAATTTCTTTTTTCTCCCTTTTCTTTATCACAATTTCGAGTGTTGTGAAATTGACGTCTTCAGTGATTTTCTTTCTTTGAAAAAAAAGAAGACAATTTTTATATTTCATTCATCTAATTCTAAATGATTTCATTATAACTTCAATTTTTCAGATCTATCTATCTATCTATGTTCATTATCTATCTATCTTTGTTTATTATCTATCTATCTATCTATCTATCTATCTATCTATCTATGTATATTTGTTCATTATCTATGTATATTTGTTCATTATCTATCTATCTATGTTTTTATCTATCTATATTTGTTCATTATCTATGTATATTTGTTTACTATCTATCTATCTATCTATCTATCTATCTATCTATCTTTGTTCATTATCTATCTATCTATCTATCTATCTATGTATATTTGTTCATTATCTATGTATATTTTTTAAATCATTTATCTATTTATCTATATATATTTGTTCATTATCTATGTATATTTGTTTACTATCTATTATCTATCTATGTATCTATCTAAAATATTTTTCATTATCTATAAATATTTGTTCATTATTCTATCTATCTATCTATCATTTCTATCTATCTATATTTGTCTATTATCTATTATATTTGTTTTATATAATATCTATCTATCTATTATCTATCTTTGTTCATTATTATCTATCTATCTATCTATCTATCTATCTTTCATCTATCTATGTATATTTGTTCATTATCTATGTATATTTGTTCATTATCTATTTTATCTATCTTTTTTTATCTATCTATATTTGTTCATTATCTATGTATATTTGTTTACTATCTATCTATCTATCTATCTATCTTTGTTCATTATCTATCTATCTATCTATCTATCTATGTATATTTGTTCATTATCTATGTATATTTGTTCATTATCTATCTATCTATGTTTTTATCTATCTATATTTGTTCATTATCTATGTATATTTGTTTACTATCTATCTATCTATCTATCTTTGTTCATTATCTATCTATCTATCTATCTATCTATCTTTGTTCATTATCTATCTATCTATCTATCTATCTATCTATATTTGTTCATTATTATGTATAGAAAAATATCATTATCTATCTATCTATATTTTTATTATCTATCTATATTTATTCATTATCTATCTATGTATATTTTTATTTATTCTATGTATATTTGTTCTATCTATCTATCTATCTATTTATCTATCTATTTGTTCATTATCTATATATTTGTTTACATTATCTATCTATCTATCTATCTATCTATCTATCTATGTATATAAAATATAATTTCATTATTTGTTCATTATCTATCTATCTATGTTTTTATCTATCTATATTTGTTCATTATCTATATTTGTTTATTTTCTATCTATCTATCTATCTATCTATCTATTTGTTGTTCATTATCGATCTATCTATCTATCTATCTATGTATATTTGTTCATTATATATATCTATATTTGTTTCTATTATCTATCTATCTATGTTTTTATCTATCTATATTTGTTCATTATATATATATATATTTATTTACTATCTATCATTCATCTATCTATCTATCTTGTCTTTTTTCATTATCTATCTATCTATCTATCTATGTATATTTGTTCATTATCTATGTTTATTTGTTCATCTATGTTATCTATCTATCCTTTTTATCTATCTATATTTGTTCATTATCTATCTATATTTGTTTTATCTATCTATCTATCTATTTTGTTCATTATCTATCTATCTATCTATGTATCTATATGTTCATATTTGTTCATTATCTATGTATATTTGTTCATTCCTATCTTCTATGTTTTTATCTAGATAAATTTTAAATTATTTATGTATATTTGTTTCTATCAATATATCTATCTAAAATTTATGTTTTTTATTATAAATATATATCTATCTATCTATTTATTTGTTCATTTTCTATTTATTTGTTCATTATCTATCTATCTATAGTTTTCAATAATCTATATATATTTGTTTTATCTAATAATATTTGTTTACTATATATCTATTATCTATCTATTCTTCATATATTATCTATCTAAATATTTTTCATTATTATGAATCTATCTATCTATGGATATATCTATTTATCTATATCTATAAAATGTTTTTTTTGAAATTTTTAGTTGTTCGACGAGATTTTATAAAAATGTCTTCATATTAGTGGACATTGCAAATATATAAGAATCCATCGCATCGACTACACGATGTTCAAAACTGATGTTAAAAAAAAAAAAAAAAACAGAACAAATCTGACTCCATCAAAAAAAAAAGATAAACAAAATTAGTTTGAAAACTTTCCTTCCATGCGAGTTTTTTTATTTGCGATGATGATTTTTTTTTTTTATCGAAATTTTAAATTCGATTAAACATTACCCATTAAACATTAACCAATTAAACACACACACACACACACACACATAAACACATATATATATATATATATATATATATACCAGCCAGCAATGATTGCCATATAGCAAAAATTGTAAATGTCGCTCTGAGTGTTGACTTCAATGTTCACCAATTTTTCTCTTCAATTTTTATCTTATATATATATATATATATATCAATGACAATATATATAATATATATATATATAATGGGAACATATATATATATATATATATATATATATATACATATATATATATATAGGTGAAATATATGGATTTAATCCGTAACGAAATATATATATATATTTATATATATATATATAAAATATATATATATATATATATTAGGTCTTTTAAAAGTATGAAGGTCTGTTGTTGTTTGTACGAAGCTAAAATACTCAGTGTGAAGCCTCTTGCCATAGATTGATCCTTGAAGTCTGTCGTTTACGAAATTACTTTCTTAATTATTTTCTTTTCCGTCGTTTCTGTTAGTAGTGTTTGAAAGGAAATGTATCTATCTATCTATCTATCACCACAAAGATTCCATTAGTGAGCATGGCTTTTACAACAGATTTTGGTCAAGCATGACTTTTCTTCCGGTCAGACTACCACCATAATCCCTAGATCTCGACCCTTTCAATGTGCATAATGTTTATATACATACATTATATATGTTCACAAACTGTCATAATCGAGGGGGGTGATGAGGAGGATACGCTCCCACTATCGATAAAATACTTCTGTGTCTTTCGCCTCAAATAGCCACTGATAACTAAATGTAAATCTAAGTCGAAGAAGTGAAAACTTGCAAAACTGGCGCCTCATGACCAGCTGATTTGGGTAGATGGAGTTCGACGGTCCATCTAGAGGAAGGAAAACCCTGGTTTAAACCTCCGCTTACCTTGCGTTCATATCCAAACACGGAAAAAAATCAGTGGAAGTAAATTCAGAGAGAAAAACCCTGAGTAGAAACCCGAAGGCTGTTGATTGTCACCACTGACAACCTTCCTGCAACTCCTGCAGCCAATCTGTCCCCAAATGTAATGTCCTGTATTCCGTTGGATCTTGTCGGTATGTGCGAGAGTAGAAGGGTGTCATGTTGTTAAAGCCACCATATACCATCGCCCATACCTGTATCCTGGAGAGGTCACTCAAATCTCACCACCAAAGAACTGAATTTTGACCAAACAGGGTACTACCTTTAGCGCCATAAACGGATGCCGCCTATATATAATGTTTTTGGAGGTTTATATATAGTGTCTTATAACATGTCAAATGGAAAAGTAAAATTATTTTAAGACATTTTTGATGTTTATACATTCTTTTAGAGATTCAAATATTTAAGTTAAATTTAAAACTGTATAATTGAGTATTAAACAACATTTACTGGCCTGAATGTTAAAAAATCCTCATAGAAAATTTTCGTCTTCCGACAGGAATCGAACCTGTATCTTTACGGAACCGTCATATAGCCTGACGTGCCTTTAACCGTTTTTCCACAGAGGAGCGTTCGGTTAACAAAGTCGATTTTACTGTTTTAAACCATAATCCTGCATGAATTAATCACGTACATAAATATCTACTGATGGCGTAAATCAAATGTAAACAAATAATTAACGCATTATTTAAAGGTAATTATTTGTATCTATAAAATAAAGTGTATAAAGATAAAAATATATTTGTTTGATTGAAACATCTTTTTTTGAATTTGGAGAGATAGATTCTCATAGGAGTTCAAGTGGCAAGTTGGCAGAATGGTTGTAATAACTGAGCAATACTCTGTCGAACAATTTGATTTGATAGATTCGTTTTTACGGTTTAAGAAGGGCAACTGCACGTTATTTAAAAACCAGACATTATTGAAGATAATCGATTATTTTTTTTACTTTTTTTAATGATGGAAATTAGAATCGGGGATTAAAAACCTTGTTTTAATTTTTTTTCTTGGGTGAAAAGATAAAATATGAATGGTGTTGAACTCTGACTGAGCACAGAAATTCTGTCGAACTCTCTGCATTTGAAGAGAGGAACCCGGACGAGGCTTTCCGAACGTTATCTATTACACCAAGGTTACATCCAGGGTTTGGTGTCTAGGCGGTTCAACAGGAGATATTTTAACCAGGGATGTAATGGGGGGATGATCAAATAAAAATTAAATTTATTTCTGATTATGGGTGAAAAGATAACGACTGAATGGTTTTTGTCATTTTCAATGATCATTGATTCGAAATCCTTGCATTCAGAGGGATCCCCGGACGAGTTTTTGCACCGGCCAGATTTGTCCATTTGACAAGGTAGGACTCCATTTTAATAGGCTCTCGTTACAAAGGCCAATATTTTGAAATCTGTTAGAGGGAAGGGGATACGAAGATATGAAAAATAGATAACGAATGACATTAGACATTAAAGTGCAAAAAGATAAATACTGAACGGTGTTGAGAACGTCAGTCGAGATTCGGACATTTTCTGTTTTATATTCAATCACATATCTAGATTTTCTGTTTCATTGACCTTATTATAATTTTTTTAGTTCCAACGTTGCAACGATTTTATTTGAAAAACTGTCTAAAGCCTCCACTGTGAAAATACTCCACAACAGTCTTAAAATAGTGTCTTATACCAATGACTTATATATGGTGTTTTATATAACTGCCGTATATAATAAAAAAAATGTATAGAACGAGGATAAATAGTTCTACTGTTTTGACTGAATCTACCCGATTAGTTTCAAATACTCAGCCCATTTCACTATCACACACATACACACCCACATAAAATAATCCAATCAGAATCCGTTGAAAAAAAAGAGGATATTTTGTTGCAATAGACCGGTTCGAACAACTTCTCTCTTAGCAGTTGATATATTTCACACTTCGTTATAATATGAGAACGCTTTTTAAGATATTGCCAAATTTAATTTTCGCAAAAAGAGATTCTGAAATATTTCCTTACAGGCAAGAACTTCTGGAATCAGCAAGAAATTGAAGAAACTTTCAATAAATTTATTGGTTCTTTGAAGAAAGAATTCTTCCCGAAGGCTATCAATATGTATTCAAATATCTATCTATCGAAATCCCGAACTATAGCTACACATTGGGCGTTTATTCATTCTGTGACAGTATTTCTGTTTAATAGATGAACAATGATTAGCCTTCTAGTTTAGAACGGCAAGGAAATTTATTCAAATACTAATGAGAGCTCCAAGAATGAGGTATAGACATTTAATAAATATAGTCTCGCTTCAGCAATCTATGCAGTGAATACTGCACAATCTACTCACAGATGAAGGAGAGACAGTAACAAGAGAAGAAGAGTAACAGAGATGTGATTCTACAGAAGGATGCTCAGAATGACATGGACGGAGTATGTAACCAAGTAGGAAGTTTAAAAATATTACAGGAAACATGTATGCTCCAAATTATAACCAGAGAAAGACAAATTAATGTTTCTAGGAAATATGACAACAAAAGATAGCATGGAAATTTTGACACTCACAGGAAATATTTTAGGCAAGAGAGGCGGGAAAAGGAAGATGTAATATAGGTTTTCCACGGAATGGAAGAAACGTGTGTATGAAGGAAACAAAAGAATATATATATATATATATATATATATATATATATATATATATATATATATATATATATATTCATTTACACGTTTCATTAAATAATATAGACAAGTGTTGTCTATTTATTTTATGTAAATTTTTTCATAACGTCTGATAAGTTTAATAACATTATCATTAAACGAAAAAAAAAATTCACAATATTGATCCATTTTTTTTAATACAATCTAAGCTTTCGGCTTACATAAGCCATTATCAAAGATGTCAATTACAAAACATATTAAACAATATACGGACAAGACAGTGATGATAGTCTGTCATTGTTTACATAGATGATTTCTAAGCAACGATAAACACGTGCATATAAGACGCTAGAAGCGAAAATCGCACCACCGCATCTCATGACGTCACACATGACCACACGAGAGTGAATTGGAGAAGTATGAAATATGGAAAGCCGTTGGTATAAACCAATGGCTTCTGTTCAATATAGAAATTATAGACATTTAAGAATATTTGTAGAGATTCCATAGTTGATTTTGTTTAGGTTGGGTTTCAACTGTTTGATGTATAATGCTTCAAGGATTTTTACTTTTTGTCTATTGCTTTCATGTCGAAGTATAATTGTGTTTTCGAGAAATATTTTACGTAATTGTGAGTGCCGGCAGGCATGTTGTTTTATATGTCTAAAAATGTTAGAGTTTTCATTCCAATGTAGTGTCAAGCGCCGTTAAAGCGAGTTTGTGGTGTGACCAACATAAATATTATTTAATTCGTTGGAGATACAATTTCCCAAAGGGCACTTGAATTTATAAACTATGAAATTTTTTTTGCAAATCGCTAACTGGGGAGAAGAATCATTTTGAAGAATTGTTGGATATACTAGATTTAGTGTAGTATATGATTAATTTAATTTTTATGCTAGGATCTGTTGTTGATATATTAGTATTTACTAAATTAGTATATATATATATATATTAACTGACTGAAAATATGCTTTTTTTCGCTACACAGCAATAACCATGTTTCAAAAATGGAAGCTAAAACGTTAAAATTTAATTATATAATTAAATTAAAAGCATTAGTTTCTGTTTCATCTTCAAAACGAATATTGAATAACTTATTTCAAAAATTTTTTGAGTTTTAAACGCACATATAAATTCATAATTTACTGTTTCCAAGGATACAGAAAATCAAATCATTTAGACATTTTAATAGAATATACACACACATTTGAGGACACACACACACACACACACACATTTATATATTATATATATTTATATATATATATATATATATATATATATAAGATATTTATGGTACAAAAAATGTAATCAGAAGGAAACAGTAAAATTTATATGGCATTTAAGAAAAAAACGGTTTTTTTCCCAGGATTTATCAAGTTTATTTTTTGGGATAAAAAAAATATACTTTTTGTAAATTAAATTATTATAACGAATAGAAGGAAAAAAAAATGAATTGAGAGAAAACTAGAGTCCAATAACATTGAGACCCAGCAAGCATTCCCTCTGTTTACAAAGTGAAGTCTCACGGGATATTGATATACAAGACCTAGAACCTTGAGGTGATATGAGGTTGGGAATAGATAAAAATCAAAAAAACGGTCGGCACTAAAATCAAACACATTTCATTTATTTATTACATGTTCAGCAATAGCAGATATCTATTTTTTATTTGTGAGTTGCATTTTTCCTGGCATCCGGATTCAATTTTTTGTTGTGGGTAAGTGTTGTTTTATTCAGATATATAATATATATAAATTTCCAAGAGGATAGAATCCATTTAGAACGCAATGTTCCGACAGAGTAAATTTTTTAATTATTTTTTAAAAACATTATTATTAAATGGTTATAATTCTTTAACATTTTGAATAAATCAAGTTCCAGTTTTTAGAATAAAAAAATGAAATTCTTTAAAAAATTTAAAGTTGATGAATTTCTCTATCGATTGATGAATTAAATTATAAATGGATTTCCAATGTAATAAATTATAAAATATAATATTATATTTATATATATATATATATATATATCCGAAAATATATATATATATATATATATATATATATATATATATATAGTAGTGTTTTAGCCTGTTATATATCTCATACTTATTTAAAGAATAAAAAGATGTGTCTGTTTTTGCGTGTGCACCAAAATTTGTGTTCGTTTATATATTGGGTCGGATTTCCTACATTTTTGAAACCGATTTAAACAAAAGTTCACAGGATTACGTAAAATTAATTTGGGTGGTTCTGACAGCGCCAAAATTGAAAAAAAAACAATTGTTTTTGCACGAAATCAATTTGAAAACACGATTAAGAGGCTGTCGCGAGAATGAAAGGGGGACATTTTTCATATCGAGTTATACTTATCATAAAACCCATGTCTCTGTGTGTGTGTTTATATATGGGATCGAATTTCCTACATTTTTCAAATGATTTCAACAAAACTTCATTTTTTTTGGCAGGTAGTTTTTTTTATTGTCTTGCAGTTTTTTTCTTTATTTTTATTTCAGAATTTTTTGGCTTTAAAATTCCATTTACAAGACAATTGTTTATAATATAATTCTATTCAATCGCTAGATTCAGAACGATTGAAAACAATGTTTTTGTTTGAGTTTGGTATTTAAAACCAAAAATTTTCAAAAAAAACTAATTAAAGACATGCGTGTCCGTCAACCTTAAACAAAAATCTTTTGTCAATTTTATTTTTCAGTCTTTATGATGGTCGATACTTGATCTATCTAAAAATAAAGCAATTTGTTACTGTTACATTCCGTATATATGTATATATATTCAAATGTATTTTAGATATATTATATATATGTATGTGTATATTAACCACTAGAGCTAGAAATTATTGGAATTGTTCAGAGCCATAATTGCTCACGTGTTAAAAAGAAACATTTATAGATTTATTATTGGCATTTCTCTCCATTAATAGCAGTCTCTCTTCTAAGCCAATGAAAGGCTTTTATTTAGAATTTAAGGCAAGTAACGTGCTCACCACAGATGAACAGGAAACTTAAAGCAAAAGAAAGGTGATTCTTCTGAAGGATACTGAAGATTCCATGAACCGAGCTAGTAAGCAACAAAGAAGTCTTAAGTGTAATGGTAACGAAAAGAGCCCACACCCAGAACCAGAAAGAGACAGCTGATATTTTTTTCACCGAAGTCGGTTACCATTTCTTTCTGCGGTAGACCAATTGCCATCCAACGCTATAGAACCCGATCTATCCTGCTATTTACGCATAGCTGGGGGAAGAAGAAATGATTCATATTTTTTAAAAAAACAATTTTTAATGTTAATTTTTTTTTGACGTTACGTCAAAAAACGACATTATTACGTCATTATTTTTGCACCAACCTAATATAATGGATTCAAAAAGAATTTGAACTACAAGGAATCAGTCAGTTATTTGCCATGCGTGATACACGTTTAGGCGATCATGTAGCTTTCGATACATGTCTGATGAAACAGATTTTTTCCCGCATTAGGTTGCCATTTCTTTCTGCTGTAAACCAGTTGCCATCCGAGTCTATAGAACCCGGTCTCTCCTGCTATTTACCCATAGCTAGGTGTTGATAAGAAGAGTCATACCCTTCCCAAGGGTATTAGCATATAAGTGAATTTAATGGATTTGACTGAAATCGAATCTCCGATTTTTCAATTGAGCCACTATCCATTATTTATTGTTTATTGCCTTGATATTACTTTTTTATTTTTTTTCAGAATCCCGGATTTCAGTTGGTTTGAACAGGAACGGATCCGAGATATTTATGAAGTTGCGTTCTAAGAAGACCGACTCCGTGAAAGAGCAGAATGCAATAATATTTGATGAAATTCATTTGAAGACTTACTGCTTGGATTAGCGGTTTCAAAAATACGCCGGGTGATACGGTGGCTTCCCGCCCCACACGCTGCTTAAGGGGGACGTAGTTTCGAAACTTACCGATGGGTATATTTCCGTTATTTGAGACTCTCGAAAAACCAGACCGGTAGGCGCCAATTATACCGTTTAATAAACAAAGGCATTTTCTCAGATACGTGTCTCATCTAGATATAATGTATTTAGTAATCTTATATATAAAGTACAGTGTATGTGTGTGTGTTTGTGCGTATGCGTATCCAAGCAACATTTGTTTCGCATTGCATAAAAATTTCAATGATTCTTTAGCTCATTCAAATGCCCTAGAAATGTTAGGCACAGGGAACGATTTTCATTGAACCCAGATTTAAGGTTGCCAGATTATATCCATTCGAATGTTTTTTTTTCAAATTTCGAGAGCACCTCTCTGCGGCTGCTCGGTATCATGTTGACGTTTGACCTGAGATGGAACAAATACATTGAGTCAATTTGCTTCGTCCACCGCAAAGGAAAGTTATTCTTTGGGCCGCGCCAAGAAATTTTTCTCCCGGAATCGATCCTTCAAATCTACAAATCAACAATTCGCCCTTTTATTTTATTGCTGCCATATAAGGTCTGGAGCCCGTTCTGTTTGCCTCGGGGTTCTTGATAGGCTC